ATGGGAAACTAATAATGAATCTCTCTCTCTCTCTCTCTCACTCTCTTTCTCTATCTCTGCAAAGAGATCTCAGCTCAAATATCGATCAATTTTGTCCAAGTTGAGCGCGATTCATTAATCTTGGCCGCGTGCGCAACTGTTGAAGCGTTTTTCCATTCCTAATGAGCAGCCGACAGAGATACAATAATCTAGAGACTGAGAGAGCGAGAGAGGAAGAGAGGGGGAGAGAGAGGTGGGCAGGCGGGGGCTGATTTAGTGGAGCAGAAGTTGGCCCAGGGCAATGCGTTTATGCGGGCACAAATTAACAGCAAGGCAAAACAATTAGTGGCAACAACAACAGCAACAACAGCAACTACAACAACAACAGCAACACGCACCTTATCATTTATCTTAGCTGCGCTGGCTATTTATTTGGAATGTGCCGCAAGTGCCGCGAAAATTAACGCAAAAATTTTGACTGGCTAATTGAGCGCGGCTTTTGGCCATAAACTAAGCATTTAAGCCAAACTGGAGCTCACAGGCATGTTGCATATTTCAAAAGCTTTGTGACACAATCAAAAAAGGAGGGCTTCAAAACAATTAAATTCCCAAATTCAGTTTTTCTTAGCTTAAGCCGAAAGAACAGAAAAAATAAATTAATATAATAAATTTTCAATATTTATAAATATTTATACAAATTTACCACGATTGAAGAGAATTTATATGAATAAATGAAGGTCCATACATAGTCTAAGAAATTCATACAAGCCATTCACAATAGTTTTATAGATATTATAGATATACGGGGTATGGGAAATTTTAGGTAAACTAAAAACCAAAAAAATTATTTATTTCATATTTTTGAACCCACATATTAATCTTTACCCAACTACTTATAGACTTCTAATCATAATCTTTGGTTTCAGCACCTTCACACCTTGATTAGGGCATTCAGAGTGCGCTGTTCTAATTGAGAAATCGTAGTTGGCTCAGCTTTCAGCTCGGATGCGCCACCTGTGGGGCGTTTGATGGGTCTTTGATATCGCCGACATAGATCTGAATCTGTTGACTAGATCTTATGAATGGCATGCGTTATATGCATTTGGGTTTGCTTGGCTAGGCTAGAGCATGGCTGGCTGGCTGGATGGATGGACCGGCGACTGGGTCTGGGCTGGGATTATGTCACATCCGCTTGGCCCTGCTTAAGACGGATGCTTCACTGTGCTGAGTGCCTGGCCATTAAGATCGAGTGGGCCGAGCACTTGAGAGCCGAGTGAGAACAGTGGCTGCCATTGATGTTGTTGCCAGCAAGTGCAATGCAATGCATGGCAATGCAATGCAAAGCGGCTCCATTAGCGCCACTCGAGGGGAACTTAGGTGTTTTCGGTCGGCCTGCCAGTGCATCGCATCGCACTGAGATCTCTCTGTGCAGCATCTCTGATTTCCAAATGTGCATTACAGACGCTCGTTAGGTTAGCATGGGCAGGCGTGACAAGGGCCAGAAGTGTGCTTCGGGTCTAACAAGCATAATATTTTTGGCAAGGCGGCGTCGGCTGATGACGATGCCGACGACATCGACATCTTCCTATACTCGAAATGCTTTTCAGCTGCGATTGTTGTTGTTGCTGTTGCTGTTGTTGTTGCTGCTGTCGGCGGGGCCAGAAATAGCGTAAAACTCATAAACGGCTGGCGACTGTTGCTGGCGAGGGGCAAGTGGCGAGTGGCGAGCAGCAGCAGCAGCAGCAACATGCGATGCCATTTGAAAATTTCATTTCATTTCGTTATAATTTTCTATTTCCCGCATGGCGAACGGCCCCTAGGTACCGCTACCACTGGGTCCCCCTTAGCTGGTACCCCCGCAGCAATCTCACTGAGAGCGCATAGCAGCCCTCGCTAGTTGTTCATTTGGCTTTAGCTGCGTCTAGCGCCGGCATTCATACTTAATTACCAAAAACGAAAAGTCAAAGAGTCGTCGCAGTTGTCGTCCGTTGTTGTTGTTGTTGTTGCTGCTGCTGTTGCTCTTGTTGCTGCTGCTGTTGAATCTTCTCTGGCGTGACGCTAAATGAGCAGCACCAAGTCTTCTTCTGACCAGGTAGCCAGACGCACCAGCTATGATGAATTGTGGGTGCCGTTGAGTAAGTTTGCCTCTCTGCAACGTAGGCGTTGACCTAAATAAATAGTTGCTGTTGCTGCTGCTGTTGTTGTTGCTGCTGCTGTTGCTGCTGTTAAATCGTTTTCCGCTTGTGCAATCGCTTGCTAAACATTCTATGGCGACAAGTGCAACCAGAGTAGATATCAGAGTTTTCCACATGGCTTTTGTAAATGGAAACTCACAGTCAAGGTTTGAGTAAAAGCTACAATATATACATATATACATACTTACATACATATATGTATGTATTTATATATCTAGTTTAGCTATTGAAATATATATGGTTGCTTGGTGTTGGCGCTGTGACAAATTGATTTTCAATGCTGCATTCGTCTATTATATAATATTGTAAATGGATAAAGAAAGGTCTCATTGTGGGCTGCACTGATTGAAGGTGTTGCTGTCGCCACAGTTGCTGTTGCTGTTGCTGATGTTGTTGTGGTTGCTGCTGCTGCTGCTTCTGGTCTACGCTTGGCGACATTTCGAGTTCCGCCAGTTTGTCTCCGCTTTTAACCAAAACAAACAACCAGAAGCACCAACAACAACAACGATAACAACAACGATAACAACAATCGATGTTGCTGCTGATGGTAACGACGAGCACACAAAAGCAAATGATGTTTTATGAGCAGCTAATTTACTTAACACCTCAGCAACAACAACAACAACAAATAACAGCAGCAGCTACAGTAGTCACATAAATAAAGATAAAGAACCAAAATTTCAACTATAATAGCCCAATGCCAAAAACAATGAAAACAACAACAACAACAGCGAGCGATAGAATAAAACATTTATACATATTTTTTTTTATTTAAATTTTTTCATGTGCTGGGATTTTATTTTTAAAGCCAGCTTGGAGCCGTTGCGTGGGTGCAAATTGGACAATAATATTGGACCAGTTGATTCATGAAAATACCGATTCAGACAAGTTCGATTGCATTTTAATCAGTTTCAAGCAGAGCAGGGCGGAGCGCTCGGTTCCGGCTATGGCATATGGGGCATACGGTGCGTATGAACCGGTTCGCGTCTGCCCATTGTGGAATCAGCAAGACACAGCAGCTCCTTGTAAACGGTTTATGGGTTTTTATCGTGTTTTTTTTTCTGTTTGGGATTTTTAATTTCTTCATTATGCTAGATCTGCGTTTGACGCTGACATTGATGGGCTGCGGGTTTTATGGTCGACATTTGATTTGGTGCCCATTGATATGCAAATGCCGAGGCGCGCCAAGTGAATGCTGCTGGCAGGGCGTGGGCGGAGGAGCTCGATGGATTATGTATGCATTTGGTGCATAAAGTAGCTGTTTAAATCATTCGCCAATCCGCTCAGTTGGGGCAGCGAAATTGAGGCACAAATAATGGAATGGAGAAATGGAAGCAACTGAAGGCAGATGCAAATTTTTCGCTGCGTTTGCAAACAAAGAGCCCAACAAAAGCCGAAGCCGAAAGCAAAATAAATCAATCTCAAACGAAAAAGTAAATATCCTGTGCGCCCCCGCCGCTGCCACGCAGCCGCTTCACACACAAACACACGCACACACACACACACAGTGCCCCATTCATTGATGAAGCTGAAAGGAACAATTGGCGAGGCGGGCGTGCGAAGAGAGAGATAGAGAGAGAGGCGGCTAAAAGTAAATAAACACAAATTAAGAGTGGAGAAGCGTCAGAGGCAGAGAGCGAGACAGAGAAGAAGAGAGTGAGCGGGAGGGAGAGAGAGAGAGAGAGAGCGAGATAGTGAGTCTCAGAGGGGCAGCAGCAAGAACAGCTGATTGCAGCTGATTTCTGATTTCAAACAAAAAACGAAGAGGAAGAGCTGAGCAGAGAAGAAGGGCTGCCACTGCCGCAGCCGCGCCCTCGCTGTGTGCGACAGGCATGACGGAAGCCAAAGAAGACGCAACAGCAGCAGCAGCAGCAGCAGCAGCAGCAGAAGAGGCAGCAGAAGCAGCAGCAGCAAAAAATGAATTAAAAATCTAATTGCGACCGCGCTGAAACAAAGCAAAGACGAGTAAAAGACAATAAAAAAGACGAGCGAGGGCGGGGGCGGTGAAGACACACACACACATACATATATAGCATATATATATGTATCTACTCTCATATGGTTGAAAGTCGGCGTAGCTTGTTGGGCGCACTTAGTCGCGTTACAGACGCAAACGTCATGAACCGCAACGCAACAATAATTACAACAACAACAACAACAACAATAAGAACTTAGGGCTGGGTATGGCAAACCGCAAAGGTCGACTGCAGATGCCAACCGTTGAGACGAAGGCCAGAAGAAATGAGTTTTCAAAGTTTTTCCAACTTGGGGAGCAGCACAAAATTAATGCGAATTTAATTAAAATGTGCAACTAGCAACAGCAACAGCAACAGCAGCAGTAACAGCAGCAACAATCAATTCTAGAGCTGAGCTTTGCTTGTTGCTGCCCAGCCGCCAAATTGTGGAGGAAGCAGCAACAGCAGCACCAGCAGCAGCAGCAACTGTTGCCTGGATGCAGAGCTGACTTGGAAAATTGCAATCGTCGGCGCATGTGCGACGACTCCAACTAAGTGTGTGTGTGTGTGTGTGTGTGTATGTTGCATAAATTTATTTCGGTCTGGTGGATATTAGCAGAGCGTGAAGTTGGCAAATAAGAAATTCAGCATAAAAAAAGGTAAATTTTCATTAAACAGCAACAAAAAAAAAAAAACAATAAATAAAAAATGAAGAAGAAAAGGAAAATAAAGCGAGATAGAAAGCATTGATAAGTTAGAGTGTCTAACAAAGTTCAACTCTAACATGACTCAGACTCTCAAGTATATACTCAAAGGGATCTTTGATCGGAATTGTACATATATATAGTATAGAATCTCTTTGGGTACTCACCATAATTTTCGCTCACAGCTGCTTGGACTGACTTGAGCACTGGCGCCGTCGCTCGGATGGGCTGGCCCAGTATGGAGAAGTTGCCGGGATTCGTTTGCTGGACAAACATGATGTAGCGTATGTCGGAGGATTGCTCCAGGTTGAAGTGGATCAGGCCGCGCACCTGCAGCCGTTCGCTGTAGATGTCGCACTCGCCGCTTCCGTTGCGCTGCGCGAACTGAAACCGAACGAGCTGCGGCAGCTGCAAGTCCCGCTGCTGCTTGAACACCTGCAACACCTTCATTGTGGCCGAGAAGTTGGCCGGCCGATTGGCCGTCCTCGAGATGAACACGCCCATGATCACTGTGGGCGCCGCAAACGCCAGCTGAGCGGGATCCTGAGCGGAACAATAGCGACCCGTTCGCAGCTTATTCCGATGCTTTCGCGGATGTTTTCGTCGCTGCTGGTGTTGATGTTGCTGCTGGTATTGCTGCTGCTGTTGCTGCTGGTGCTGTCGCTGCTGTAGTTGCTGTTGACGCTGCTGCTGCTGTTGACGCTGCTGCTGCCGTTGGCGGCGATACTCGCGCTTTGCCTCCTGCTGCTGCTGCCGATGGCCGTGATATTTCCGCTGGCCATTGCCAAAGTCGCGACGACTGCGCGCCGCCTGCTCCTGGCTGCTCGCTGGCACTTCATAGGACTCAATAAAATACATTTGCGCTGCTGCTGTTATTCTGCTGCTAAAGTTAAAGGCGGCAACATTTTGCTGTTGCAGCTGCAGTTGCCGCGCATGGCTGTTAGGCTGCAACTGCTGATGTTGCTGCAGCTGCTGCTGTTGCTGTAACTGTTGTTGCTGCTGCTGCAACTGCTGCTGCTGTTGCTGCTGGAGTGCATGTCGTCGCGTTTTACTACTCGACGAGATGCCATTGTTTAATAATTTATATTTTTGACTATTTATTAGCGTATTTGGAACTTGTTGATGTGACTGCTGCTGCTGCGTTGTCACCGCAGCAATATGTTGCTGCCGTTGTTGCTGTACAGCCGCATTGCTAACGCTGCCTGCGTCGAATACTGTTGCTGGCCTTAACTTAATGTTGCTAGTGCTACTAAGACTATTGCTGGGCCGGCTGAGCAGCCTACTTAAGATATTGTTGTTGTTGTCGATGTTGCTGCCGACGCTTTCACTGCTCCCGCTGCCATTGTCCGCCAGCTGTTGCAGCTCTTGCTGCCGCTGCTGTTGCTGCTGCTGCTGCTGCTGCTGTGGCAGCGCAATGTAGTAGCTGCTTTCTTCTGATTCCCATGATCTTTGCTGTTGCTGCTGGCGTTGGCTTGCGATTGCTGTTGCTGTGGCTGCTGCCGCTGCAGCTGCTGTTGTCGTCGGCACACATGTGATCAATAGCAACATGTAGCTGACGTAGATTGCTAGCGATATCAATGGCATTAGTTGCGGTTGCGTTTTTAGACTCCATTTGCGCACATGTTGCGCATACATGGCGTCCTCCAAAGTTGTTGTTGCTGTTGCCCTAGCTTTATTTACAAATCAACTATCGATGGCTGTCTATCGCTTATCGTAGTTGTTGCTGCTGCTGGTGCTGCTGCTGCTGCTGCTGCTGCTGCTAGTTGCTGCTGCTTGGCGATCTGTTGCTGCTGTCTCTGCTTTTCTCTGTCTATTGCTGGCAAATGTTGCCGTCGCTGCGTCGTCGCTGTGCCTTATCGTATTTTCGTTTATCCTGCAAATACTTTCGATAATTTCGTAGCATTTTGAGGGACAGCAACAGAGAGACGCGACACGAGAGAGACGAAAAGAAAGAGAGACACGTTGAGTGAGTGGGGTAGAGACAGTAAATGTTTAACAATTTCTAGCATAATATTTATGAGCACTTTGGGAACATTTTTGGCTGTTGCTGTTGCTGCTGCTGTTCTTGTTGCTGTTGTTGTTGGTGCTGTTGCTGCTCTTGTTGTTGCTGGTGACTCATTTTGGCCCGATCGTCTGCTTTGGCAATGCAAAAAATGTATACGTATATCTTTAAATAAATAAATTGCTGTTTGTATTTGTTATTATTGTTGCTGCTGTTGTGGTTGCTGTTGTTGTTGCTGGTTTGCTTGTTCGTTCGTTTGCTGTTGTTGCATTTATTTTGTTTAGAATTTTATTTGATTTTATTTTATTCGTTCGCGTTCGCGTTTCACTTGAGCGCCTTGGAGTCGACGCACTGAGCTATGGCCACGCCCACCCCCTACCTCTTGAATAGACGTAGACTTAAGGTCGTCGCGTGGCGTTTGATTTAAAGTTTTTATGCTGTGGATCTATTTTGCTGTTGTTGTTGTTGTTGTGGTTGTCGCTGATTCGGTTTGCTATTTGTTGTTGTTTTGCGCGTTTTTCACGACGTTTTTCACGCGCGCGCGTTTCGTGCGCGACTCGTCAAGCTGCTCGGCTGCCGTCGGCTCTTTGCCGATTGGCAGCTTCGCCTCTTCGTGCGTGCAATGCGACGCTTCGTTCGTGTTGCTGTTGTTGTCGCTGCTGCTGCTGCTGCTGCTGCTGCCGCTGTTGTAATTGTAATCCTCGCAGCGCGCGTATCTGTGAGATACACTTCTTTTCGATAATGTTAATGTTTGTCTTGCCGTATACGCGATCTGTCTATATAGACGTAGCCCGTAGCCGTAGCCGTAGCTGTTGCCGTAGTCGCTGCCTGATTCACTGTCGAGTGTTTTCTGGCACACACATACGCACACACACTTGCACTGTCTCTGTTGTCGCTGATGACGATGATGATGATGCTGCTGCTGCTGATGATGATGTTGATATAGCAGACACACAGACACAGAGTCAAACAGACACACACGCACGTACAACACACCCGACGAAGACAACACACACGTTTTCTAATTTTAGACAAAAGTAATTATAAAAGAAAAAAGCAGAGCAGAGTGCGCCGCGTTCAGCTCATACGCATATATCTTCTACTCTGCCTAGATATATATACATATATGTTTTATATATATATTATCATATATGTGCTGTGTGTGTTGCCGATTATATAGGAGGATCGTCGCAGCAAATATATATATTGCACACGCACACACTAAATCGATCCCGATCGTTTTTTATATAGACGCGTATGCATATATGTGAATTATAAGTATATGTATTTGTGTATCAGATGTAGACAGACGATGTCAGTTGTTTGCTGGACGGAACAGTTGATGTTGCCAGTGGCAATTGCAGTTGTTGTGGTTGTTGCTGTTGCTGTTGCTGTTGCTGTTTCTGCCGCATTTGTTTTTGTGGTTTCTGCAAAGTTGATTTTCTCTTCTTTTTGTTTTTGTAACTCAACAAATTGTGCGCTTGGCTTATCAGTCAATAAATATCAGTTCGAAATTGATTTGAAAACTGAAAGTCCTTTCGCGATAATCGCCATCTGATGAAATACTTCAAGTTTTCCACCTGCACACGGCAATCGATATTGATCGTAATATGCGAAAACAATTGTATTATTCATAAAGTCGTTGGGCTTTATTTTTATTTAAATATTATTGGATTTTTATTTTCGTGAATAAAAATTTCGTTGTATATTTTTTTTTCAAAATCATTTATTTATTTATTTTTTTTTTATTTTAATTTATTTGTTGTTTTTGTTTCACGCACCGCACAGAAAATGAAATAAATTTAAATTCAATTTGAAATTCACATACACACGATGCCTCAGTGTCTCGGTCTGCATTTGACTCGACTCTATATTTTGTATATTCTCGGGATTTCGGTTTGCCGACACGCGCGTAACTGACCCGTTGCTGTTGAGTGTTTGCCGCGGACTAACAGCGAAACGTTACTCGGCACGTAACGCTTACGTTGCGCTGCACAAATTGAACCCGCCAACGCATCTTAACCAGCCGAGCAAACCAGATCGCTAGCAGTTTGTGTAGCAATTATTTATTTAGAGATTTTGGCTTATTTTTGACCAAAGAAAATTTTCAAAAAATATTCGAATGTTGTACTTTGGTTATTTTAATAGCAACTTGTGAAAATTATGATTCAAAATAAATTAAAAATTCGAATATAAACTAGCATTAACATTTACAGTAGTATGTTGTACTCAAAATGGTTATGTTAAGCTCAGATTGGCACTGTTAGACTGTTGTGACCTTAGTTAAGTTCGACGTCTAGGTTTGATGTTGCATGCTTGTCTGTTGCGCGCACGCTTCACACGTATAAGACAACGCCACATACGTATAAGACAATTTGAATGAAATAATGAGCGCGAATTTACATTTGAAAAAGGGGAGTTCTAATTATGAAATAATTATGCAATATATTTTAGTTAGTTTTTTAAGCAGCATTTGAAACTCCATCATGTTTGTCACGACTCATTTAACAAAAAAATTAGAGTTATATTAATTAAACATTTGATATTTTTATTGTCTTTTATTTCCGTTAAAAATTTCGTTAAATAAAGATTTTTTTTTTTTGGGATATGTGAATGAATAATGTATCAGTATGGGGTCAGATAAGTATCAGGCCAAAACGTAACGTGTTACGCTGTGCATGTAAATATTTTAACTCCTTGCGTAAGCGCTATCAAATCTTGAGTGAGTACCCATAGTTAATCAGAGTGCTCATGAATGAAAATATTTTATAATTCTTCACCATTACTTACAATTCTGTTGATGAATTATTTTGAATTTAAGAGCTTTCGCAGGATATGCAGGACACGCTGTCTGTTTAAGCACGAACACTTGAAGAACGCACGCTTCAATGGGCTTCCTCTGTTTAGTGAAATATTATTGCGAGGGTTTTAGCTATTTATGCGATCGAAAACAGCAACAGCTCCTATCTAAAATGTGGTAAGCAATATATTGTATGCTTATGATACTTTGTTGAAGTGGAATGTGTGTGATGGTTCGATATGGACATATGTATACATACATATATATATGTATGTTGGATAAAAAGTTGCTAATAAGATTTTATGAAATAATAAAAAGTGCTTGTTACCTGTAATTCGATTATATATTAAATGGGAGATCTTGATAGCTTAACGCATAATCTTTTGGGCAAGATTAGTTTGGAGTTTGCGGTATTCTACGAAAATCGACGGACTTACACATACGCAGCTGCTTTTTGAGTGAGCTGGCAGCTCGGCTCAGCTTTTTCCCATGATTATTTGCTTGATTGTCAAATGTCAAGCCCCCAACACAGAAGAAGGAGACCAAGTCGTCAGGTGAAGCTGTCGCTGGTTGGAAGTCGTGTAAACTTAACGTTTTTACCAGTTGCTGCTAATGCTGTTATTGTTGTTATTATAATTGTTGTTCTTGTTGCTGCTGCTGCTGCTGTTGCCGTTGTTATTTTTGTTGTTGTTGTTGTTGTCAAACAAAGCTTCCACTTGTTCTACGCATCGCGCATAACAATAAAAGAAGCGGAGCCAAGCGGGAAATAATAAAGAAAAAAAAAACCAAAACGAAAAAAAGATCGCCTCGCCCCAAGTTGGTGACAAGTGCGGCATTGTAAGAAAACCTGAAACCTCAACGCTGGCGCTTCATGAGCCAAAAGTCTGACTTTCAGGGGGTTGGCGGAGGGTGCTGAGGATGAGGGAGAAGGGCATTGGAGGAGAGGAGGACGACTGGCGAATAGGGTGGCAAAACGATTAACCATATAAACCAAATTACCAATTGAATTTAATTTATCCATGTGAAATACTTATCTATACCCTCATCTGACATGACAATTGTAAATTGCATCGGGAATACGCGAAAACTTAAAGACGGTGCTTCCCAAAACAAGTTATATTAAGGTCAGCAGGAATAATGTCATAAATTTTGTTATTGCTTAGTAGAAAGGAAATGTATTTGGGGATGTCCGAAATACATACTAAGAAATAGGATCACATATTGGCAATCTGGCGCATATCAGCCTATTCTCTAAACTGATTAGATGCCATATCATTGCTGAAGATAAGCAACACAGTTGGCAGACTTAGTTGGAGCAGTTGCTAGCTTTTGAAAGCATGAAAAAATATGTATATGTATATGTAGGTATATGTATGTATATCTAATCGGGCATTCAGTGACGCTAATTTTTTTTTTTTGGCACCGGAAGTATTTGAGGAAGTGAAATTGTGACCGCTAAGCACCTGTCGCTCAAACAGGTAGACTGCTAGCTGGACTGAATGAAGCGTGTTTGAAAAGCTGCAAACCGTGGGCAGGCAGACAATCAGATGGCATTGTTTGGCCACTGGGAATCAACTGCTGTGCCGTGGCTGCTGCTCTGCATCCGAGAGTTGCGGAAGTGCAGGAAATACTCGAACTCGTGGGTCTTATAAACAAACCTCTGAATCCCGACAACGGCAGAGCTAGTGCAACAGAACCAGAAACGGAGACCAAAACTGAGAGAGACACGGACGGACGGGACAGGGACAGGCACAGGGACAGGCACAGGCTGACGGCAATAGACAACAGCTGCCAAGCGCAGCGTCATTGCATCATCAACAAACAGACACATACACATACACACACACACACCCGCACACATGCATACACCTAGTAAGTAGAACAACAATAACAACAGTAAAACGCACCACTGAAAACCCACAACAATAACAAACATATAAAAACAAATTTTCCAAAAGCAATTTTGAAATGCGCGCAGGCGCAACGCCAACACCGACGCTGACGCTGACGCAGACGCCAGCTGCGCAGCCAGCGTCAACGTTAAGAAAATAATGAAAATTAAATGGCTAAAAAAGCAAAACAACTTAAATTCTCTGGCATATTTTCTTTTTTATTTTGGTAACTACTTGAGAGCCACGAACAAAAAAATAAACAAACACAGAAACTACACAAATGATTGTGTAATTTTCGTAAATGACTTTTCACACACACACACACACAACTATATATAGAGACAACCGAATCAAAGTAGTTTATATAGTAGCTGATATAGATGTATGTGACTTGGATTCATTTGCTAGAGAACCAAGCGTAGAGTTTTCATTTAACACAGGACAGCATATATAATTGACTAAAAGAAAATTCTATATATATCTTTTAGTAATATAATATTTAATTTATTATATGCGTTAAATTTAAG